CAGGAGGCAGCTGATCGATGATTCTCTCTCATCAATGTTTCTAGCTCTCTATCCCTCTCCCTTCCTCTCTATAAAAATTCAATAAAATATATTTTAAAAGAATGGATGCTTACAGTCCTAAAGTGCTGGACAGGGAACGGGACCCCCAAAATCCAGACGCCACAGGATGGGGACCCTGGGGAATCCCAGCCCTCCAGAGTCACGGGATGACAGATTCCTGTGCATCTCCGGTTCCAAGATGCACGGATTCCGGAATCTTTCTGGCAACTTCCGTCCCAGCCTCCCTGCCAGCCCCTCCCCACCCCCAGCTCCTCCTTGGCTCTCCTGTCCCCTGCGTGTGTCCCCCGGGGCTCCCACAGACATGACGCAACCCGCTGGGAGGCGGGAGGAGATGTAATTACAGCCCTCCATTCCTCAGGAAGCTCAGAGTCGGGGCCCAGGGGACCCTAATCCGATGTGAATAATGAAACACTTGCCAGACTCATGCACGCCCCCTCTGGGGAGGGGAGGCTCAGTGAGCTATCCATCTCCGTCCAGACCCAGGGGTTCAGCCTCATGCTGGGGAGCAGAGGCTGCAGTGGGGCCGAGGGATGTGCTCAGGGGGGGAGGTGTGGGGGGCCTGGAGGGCAGAAGCGAGGGGCTGGGGGGGATTCCAGGTGAGGGCCACAGCCCAGATGAAGGCAGGTGAGGGGCACAGAGCAGGAGGCCCTGGGACAGTGGCCAGAACCAGAGAGTTGCTCTAAGACTAAGGTGACCCAATGTCCCGCTTTTGGAGGGGCAGTCCCCATTTAAAAAAAAAAAAAAATCGGGACTGTCCCGCCAAAAGCGGGACGTCAGGTCACCTTATCCAAGACCCATTTAGGGTGGCGGAGAGGAAGCGGGGTGAGGAGGGGGGAGGGGGTCTTGGGCCAACCAGGTAAAATAATTAATCAAACCCACAGCTGGCCTGCATTTTCTCATTTTTAAATATATATTTTATTGATTTTGTACAGATAGAAGGGGAGAGAGATAGTTAGAAACATCGATGAGAGAGAGTCATCGATCAGCTGCCTCTTGCACACCCCCTACTGGGGATATGCCCGCAACCAAGGTACAGGCCCTTGACCGGAATCGAACCCGGGACCCTTCAGTCCCCAAGCCAACGCTCTATCCATTGAGCCAAACCGGTTTCGGCCATTTTCTCATTTAAAAAAATATATATATATATTTTATTGATTTTTTACAGAGAGGGATAGAGAGAAATATCGATGAGAGAGAATCATTGACCAGCTGCCTCTTGCACACCCCCTACTGGGGATGTGCCCGCAACCAAGGTACATGCCCTTGACCAGAATCGAACCCGGGACCTGCCAGTCCACAGGCCGACGCTCTATCCACTGAGCCAAACCGGTTTAGGCCATTTCCTCATCTTCAACGGACACTTGAGCTTTCTCTTCGTCCCACGAAGCAGCCCCTGACACAGGCTCCGTGTCAAAGCGCACCTGGGCCTCGACCTCCTCGGCCAGAGACAGAGGGCAGGGCGGGGACTTACTGAGCGAGAAGCCGGCCCAGCTCACAGCCTACGGCCCCCGGGGGGCGGTGTGGGTCTGAGGCCTCAGCTTTTCCTGCTCCCAGGAAGCCGGAAATAGAGACTCTTGTGCGAGTACTCTGTTTTCCAATTTGGCAATCAAGTCAGGAACATTTTTATTGATTTTTTTTTTTTTAAGAGAGAGAAAAAGGGAAAGGGAGACAGAACAGCGATGTGAGAGCCAAATATCGACCGGCTGCCTCCTGTGTGCCTCCTACCAAGAATCAAGCCCCAAACCCAGCCATGTGCCCTGACTGGGAATTGAACCTGCAGCCTTTTGGTGTACTGGACAAAGCCCAGTCCACTGAGCCACACAGGCCAGGGCAAGAGCATGTAAAACATTGAGTAGGCCAGCCCTGCCGAAACCAGTTTGGCTCAGTGGATAGAGTGCTGGCCTGCGGATTGAAAGGTCCCAGGTTCGATTCCCATCAAGGGCCCAGGCCCAGGCTGTGGGCTCCATCCCCAGTTGGGGGCGTGCAGGAGGCAGCCGATCCACCATGATCCTCTCTCATCATGGATGTTTCTATCTCTCTCCCTCTTCCTTTCTCTCTGAAATCAACTTTAAAAAAATAAACATTATGTAGGCCAAAAGTAGAAAAGCCAAAAATATATATATATATAAACTGCTGGCTATATATGTCCCTCCAATATGTGGCGTGGGAAACAGGGCAGACACGGGAGCTGTCAGGCTGCCCTGTGTCCCCGGACAAAGAAGATGACTGTTGAAGGAAGGGATGTACACGTTAGTGTGTCTCCTCCTTCTCGCCCACTCCTCTCTTCTCTGGTCCCCAAGTGTTATTACGGCCAAGTCCCAGCTTCCTCATCCAGGAAGCCCTCCCTGACCCCCACACTGAGCCTGGGGCTCCCACTCACTCCCCACCCCAGCCCTACCCACTGTCTGTCTCACCTACTGGATTCTGAGCCCCAGGAGGCAGGGCCAGGCTGTCTTGGCCACAGCCATGTCCCCAGCGGGCAAGCAGGGAGTGTTTGGAAGAATGAACGCATGAATGAATGAATGAATGAATGGACAGAGTTCAGTGCTTATGGACAGAGATAGGCCAGGGGCGGGAAGTAGCCAAATGTGAAGAAAAAGGGTGAAACTATTCAGGGGTAAGAAAGGTGGGACGGGCACAGGGACTCCTCAGGATCGGCAACCCAGGAGGGAGGAGGGAGGGGGCCAGCTGAGGCGCAGGGAGCCCAGTGTTCACCCCATTGCCTCCCAGCTGTGTGACTGAGCAAGGGACTGCCTTGGGCTCCGTTTCCTCCTGCAAAGAAGGTGGTACGCTAGCAGCCCGCTGCCTCTGGGACTCTGGGACGATCACATACATTCAGGGGTAGAGGAGGCTCCTTTCCTCCGAGCGCCCTCCGCACCCACACACCGGCCTATGGTATCCTCTCCCCCCCACCTCCACCCGACTCTCCGGGCTGAGAAGGGATCCCAGGCTCAGCGAGTGCCTCAGATACCATCAGCACGTTTATTGGGCTCAGGTTCCGGCACACAGAGGAAGCCGCGGGGAAGGGAAGGCTCAGAGCAGGACGCAGAAGAGGCGCTTGTCGCGGAAGGGGTTCTCGGCGGCGGGGACCGGCGTCACCATCGGGTCGTCCTTGGCGTGCGTCTCGCAGAAGGCCAGGAGCTCGGCCGCCGCCTGCGACACCTGCGGGCACGCCCGGGAGTCCAAGCCCGGCCCCGCCCCTCCCGGGCCCCGCCCCGGCCCCGCCCCCGGGCCCCGCCTCTGGCTGGTTCGCCCCGTCCTTCAGGCCCCGCCCCGCCCCGGGCCCCGCCCCCGGGCCCCGCCTCTGGCTGGTTCGCCCCATCCTTCAGGCCCCGCCCCGCCCTCAGGTCCCGCCCCTCTTGGGACCCGCCTCTGGCTCATCCCGTCCTTCAGGGCCCGCCCCGCCCCTCAGGTCCCGCCCCTTGTCTAAGGTCCTTCCCATTGGGCCCCGCCCCGCCCTAAAGCCCCGCCCCTCTGATCCTCCCCCGTCCTCCAGGCCCCGCCCCTCTCCTCAAGCCCCGCCCCTTGTCTAAGATCCTTCCTCTCGGGCCCCGCCCCTCCCCTCAGGTCCCTCCCCTTGCCTAAGGTCCCCCCTCGTGCCCCGCCTCCGACCCGCCCCGTCATTCAGGCCCCGCCCCGCCCTCAGGCCCCGCCCCGTGTCTAAGGTTCTTCCTCATCAGACCCCGCCCCTTTCCCCAGGCATGCCCCTCAGGCCCCGCCCCGCCCCTCCGGCCCCGCCCTCCGGCCCCGCCCCGTCATTCAGGTCCCGCTCCTTTCCTCAGTCCCCGCCCCGTGTCTAAGGTCCTTCCTCATCAGACCCCGCCCCTTTCCCCAGGCATGCCCCTCAGGCCCCACCCCGCCCCTCAGGCTCCGCCCCGTCATTCAGGTCCCGCCCCGCCCTCAGTCCCCGCCCCTCCTCGGGTCCAGCTCGGTTCAGAAAGGGATCTTACACACACACACACACACACACACACACACACACACACACACCCCTCCCCGGGCTCCTGGCCCCACCCCCAGCAGAGCTCGGAGCAGACGCAGCCCGGCACCCCGCCTGCCTCCACCCCGGGCCCCTCACCTTCATGCGGTCGATGTTCACTTCCAGCTTCAGCTGCTCCACCGCCTTGCGGGCCTCGGCGATCTTGGCCATGTTGTTGGACATGGCTGGGCGGGCAAGGAGTCACAGGCCGGTGGGGACGGGGGCGCAGGGGGCAGGCTAGGGCGGGGGGAGGCCCCGGGAAGGGCGGCGATGTGCTGGGACCCAGCCACCGGGGCGTGGGTGGAAGGGCGCGGAGGGCACCCGGAGGCGGGCGGCCGGAGGGACGGAAAGGCAGGGAAAGTGAGAGAAGGGCCGCTGGGATGGGGGCCGGGAGGCAGGCGGAGGGAGGGCGGGGGAGGGAGGCAGCGGGGAGCACAGATGCGGGCGAGGCAGGTGCAGGGAGGGACGGAAGGACAGGGCCACAGGTGCTGGCGGCGACCCAGGTGTCCTCAGCCCCCAGGGGCCCAGCGAGCCCGGAGGGGGCCGCCCCAGGCCAATTAGCGGCGGTTCCAGGGAGAAGAGGAATTAAGATCTCGGCGGGAGGGGCGCGGAGGGGGCCTCATTAGGGCTGGGACGCAGCTGCCCCTTCCGCCCCCCTCGGGAGCTCCCCCACCCAGCCCTCTGCCTCAAAGGCTCCTCTGCTCATTAGCACATGGAGAGAGGGGGAGGGAGGAGGTGAGGACAACCCAGACAGACTGGGAGAGGGGCAGAGAGGCTGCAGAGAGGGGCAGAGGGAGGGGCAGAGGGAGAGACAAGTGACGGAGGGAGAGACTGAGGCACAGGAGACATAAAGGGACTGAGGGGGGAGAGAGATGGAGATGGGGAAGGCTGGAGTGATGGACGGAGTTGGGGGGACACATAGAGGGGTAAAGAAAGGGATAGTGACATGGGCGGTGGAGGAGAGGGGTTGGAGAAGGAGGTGGAGTGATGGGGTGGGAGAGGATAGAGAGAGACACGTGGAGGGGGAGAGGAGGGGGCACAGAGAGAGGGGTAGGGAGAGGCATAGGAGGACCAGGGGACAGAGGAAGGGGGACAGAAAGAGGGAGACCGGGGGGTTGGGGGAGAGGCAGGCTGGTGGACACGCAGACATAGAAAGTCATTCATTCACTCTCATTCATTCCCAGGCGAACGTGCTGGCTGAGACGGTGCAGAGGGACGGCCTTTTGTTGGGGCAGGACCGGAGTCTCCTACCTGTTGGTGCTCAGGGCTGGGATGGCGGGCTGCTGGCGGAGGCAGGCTGACAGGCAGCTGTGGGTCCCCCAGCCCAGCCCAGCCCCGCCCCGCCCCGCCCCCTCCCCTGGGGCAGCCCCTGAGGACCTGCCTGCTCCTGCTGCTGCCACCTCCAGCCCCACTGCTCTCTCTCTGCCTGGGTCTGTCTGTCTCTGCGGGTTCTAGCTCTGTCTGTCTGTCTGTCCCACTCTTTGTCTCTTTCTCTCCCTCTCTCTCTCTCCGCCTCCCCCTCTCAATCTCTGTCTCTGCCTGTCTCTCACACTCACTCCTGGGAAGACAGCCTCTCCCCGTGTGTTCCTATGCTGCTGCTCTGATTCTACAGTCACAGGCACCTCTCCCGTGTCCCCCACGGCCTCTCCCTCCATCACGCATGCTCTCCCACCCTGCCACCGCACTCCCTCGCGGCCCCCCCACCACAGCGACCCCTCTCAGCACGCAGCCCCTGGCTCAGGATGCACCGTGCCTCACCGTGTCACCCGGTGTCGCCACAGATTCTCACAGACGGCCTGTGCCCAACACCCCATCTCCCACCATGCCCCAGGCCCGTGCTCTCTCAAAATGCCGCACACAGTCCGTCCCTCCCAAGCTCTGGGAGAGGGATCATCATCACCACCACAGTCAGATACACCTTCTCAGGGTGAATGGCACAGTTTCACCCTGAGTGTTTCAGTATTTCAAGACGTCACACACACACATTCACCAGCGACCAAAACTGCTGCTCTTCTGCCCTAGCTGGTGTGGCTCAGTGGATATAGTGTTGGCCTGTGGACTCAGGGTCCCAGGTTCGATTCCAGTCAAGGGCATGTACCTTGGTGGCGGGCACATCCCCAGTAGGAGGTGTGCAGGAGGCAGCTGATCGATGTTTCTCTCTCATCAATGTTTCTAACTCCTTCTCGCTCTCCCTTCCTCTCTGTAAAAAAAAAAAAAAAAAAAAAAAAAAAAAAAAAAAAAAATCAATAAAAAATATTTTAAATATATTTTTATTGACTTCAGAAAGGAAGGGAGAGGGAGAGATTGAAACATCAATAATGTGAGAGAATCATTGGTTGGCTGCCTCCTACACGCTCCCATACTGGGGATCAAGCCCAAAACCCAGGCATGTGCCCTTGGCCAGAATCGAACCCGGGACTCCTCAGTCCATAGCCTGATGTTCTACTTACTGAGCCAAACCAGCCAGGACTATATAGCTATATAGCTATATAGCTATATAGATATATAGATATATAGATATATAGATATATATAGATATACACACATATATTTTAAAACACTTCTCTTCCATCCTATCTCAGCCTCACACTTTCTCTGTGTCTCACACAGTCACATATAATTACTTGTGCAACCTCCTAGAGAAACACTATCACATATTATTTCATAGTATTACACAGTTATATCCAGCGACTCCCACACACAGTCCCATGCATTCTTGCACAATCTCTAAATGTTATCTTAAAACACACAATCTTACACGTTCCCTGACACACAGCCACACAGTCACCTCCCCCCCACTGTCATGTACAGAATCTCTTGCTGAGCCCCAAAGAGTCTGTATCACACAAGGCTGTCACCGTCACACAGCAAGCTCCAGGGTTGCACACTTACACACACAAGGTCTCGCTCAGACTCTATCTTTTTAAAAAAATATATTTTATTGATTTTTTTACAGAGAGGAAGGGAGAGGGACAGAGAGTTAGAAACATCGATGAGAGAGAAACACCCATCAGCTGCCTCTTGCACACCCCCCACTGGGGATGTGCCCACAACCAAGGTACATGCCCTTGACGGGAACCGAACCTGGGACCCTTGAGTCTGTAGGCCGACGCTCCATCCACTAAGCCAAACCGGTTTTGGCCAGACTCTTATCTTTTAATTTAATTTTTTAAATGTTTGTTAATCCTCACCAGAAGGATATTTTTCCCGTTGACTTTTAGAGAGGGTGAAAGGAAGGGGAAAGAGAGAAACATCGCTCTGAGAGAGACACATCGAATGGTTGCCTCCCAAACACGCCCCCACCTGGGCAGGGGGAAGAACCTGCATGTGCCTTTCCCATGTGCGGGCCAACGCTCTAACCGCTGAGCCACACCAGCCAGGCTCTCTCGTGCTCGGGTCTCTGAGTGCCCCGCACAGCCACACGCTCTCCCGTGCGCGGTCACCAGGCTGTGCCAGTCTGCCAGGCTCCCACGTAGTCTGTGTCACGGTCACACACCGCCCTCCCAGCCCATCAGTGTGGCTGACACACGCTGTCTCCCACCCACGTGGCCTCTCTGTCACACGTAGGCCCCCGGGGTCTCTCACGCCGCCTCTGTGGACCCCACTCATGCAGAGGCACATCGTCTGCGGATGGGCGCACACAGCACTCACTCCTCACCAGGCTGCACACTGCCACGCACAGTCTCCCCCTCGCACACACGATCTCTCAGCACCACACACAGTCCCCCACCTTGGCACAGGCCACCTCCTGGTGTCACACATCATCACACGCACGTCCTCTCTCTCCTCTCACACGCACAGTCGCATGCAACCTCCCGCTGGAACACACCGCTTCCGTCATACTCCCTATCCAGTGTTTCCCAAACTGTTGACACATGTGTGCCCCTTCTATAATTTCCGTAACGCTGAGTACCCCTCGTCCTCATGAGAACGTAGAATTAGGCGCAGCTAAGCCCGGTGCAGTGCATATCCCCACCGAACTCCGGTGCAACGCGTACCCTCACCAAACTCTCCCCAGACCCCGGGGGTACGCGGACCGCACTTTGGGAAACACTGCTGGCATTGCACGAGGGCACAGAGCCACACACAGCCTCTGGGCGCTCACAGTCTCCGAGTCACACACTCAGCCCTCTGTCCTCTCCTGCCAGTCCCCTGCCGGCCGCGTGGGGGCGCGCGCGGCCCGCCGAAGCCCGCGCCAAAGCCCAGGTCCTCAAATCCGGAGGGCGCGGCGCCCGCGGCCGGTTGGGGTGCAGACATTGGCGAACAGGAGACTTGGGAACGTGGAGGGAGGAGTCTGGAGGGAGGAAATGAAGGTGGGGGACACCGAGGGAGAGGGTGAGAGATGGAAGGAGAGGCAGACCCGCAGGAAGACACAGAAACAGGGAGAGAGAGAGACCCTGGGGCTCCAGGAGACGGACAGGCAGACGGCTGCAGAGAGAGACAGGCAGAGACACAGAGACGTGAGGGTACAAGAGACATACCCAGACCGAAATGTAGACTCGGAGACGGGGAACAAGAGATAGGCACCCTGCCCTAACCGGTGTGGCTCAGTGGATAGAGCAGTCAGCCTGCGGACTCAAGGGTCCCAGGTTCGATTCCGGTCAAGGGCATGTACCTTGGTTGCGGACACATCCCCACAACCAAGGGGGGTGTGCAGGAGGCAGCTGGTGGATGTTTCTAACTCTCTATCCCTCTCCCTTCCTCTCTGTAAAAAAATCAATAAAATAAAAATTTCAAAAAAGAGAGAGAGACCCAAACACAGACAGCTGCAGCCAGAGAGGTGGACGCTCAGACCGCGCCTTGCGCGGGCCGGGGCGGAGGCGGGGCCTGCAGAGGGGCGTCTCGGGGGCGTGGCCCGGCGTCCTCGGGGGCGGGGCTTGAGCTGTGATGTGGGCGTGGCCTGAGGGCGAGCCCCGACCACCCCAGCCGGCGGAGGGGCGGGGGGCGGAGGGGCGGAGGGCCGAGGGCGGGGGCGGGGCGAGGGCTGGGAAAGGGGTGGTGGCGGGGACGGAGAGTGTCTGTCGCAGTCAGCCCGCCCCAATTCGCTTTTTACCGGGTCTGGGGAGCAAGACCGGCGGGGAGGAGACCACGGCCCCATCTGTGGTGCGGCCATCGGATAGGGGGCGTAGGGCCTGGCTCCCCTCCCCCCCTGCTCCCCTCCCCCGTCCCCTTCCCCTTCTCCC